AAAAGCAGCTGGGTGTGGTGGTGCATTCCTGTAATCCCAGCTACTCGGGAGGCTGAGGCAGTCGAATCACTTGAACCCGGAAGGCGAAGGTTGCAGTGAGTGGAGATCACGCCATTGTACTCCAGCCTAAGCAACAAGAGCAAAACTCTGTCTCTCACACACACACACACACACACACACACACACACACACACGAAAAAAGAAGGACTGGGCACGGTGGCTCACATTTGTAATCTCAGCACTTTGGGAGGCTGAGGCAGGTGGATCACGAAGTCAGGAGTTCGAGACCAGCCTGGCCAATATGGTGAAACCCTGTCTCTACTAAAAATACAAAAATTAGCTGGGCGTCATGGCATGTGCCTGCAGTCCCAACTACTCAGGAGGCTGAGGCAAGAGAATCGCTTGAACCTGGGAGGCAGAGGTTGCAGTGAGCCGAGATCGTGCCACTGCACTCCAGCCTGGGCAACAGAGCGAGACTCAAAAAAAAGGGCCTGATGCAGTGACTCACGCCTATAATCCCAGCACTTTGGGAGGCTGAGTCGGGAGTTCAAGACTATCCTGGCTAACATGGCGAAACCCCATCTCTACTAAATAAAAAAATTAGCCCGGTGTGGTGGCGGGCACCTGTAATCCCGGCTACTTGGTGGGGGCTGAGGCAGGAGAATGGTGTGAACCCGGGAAGCGGAGCCTGCAGTGAACTGAGATTTCTCCACTGTACTCCAGCCTGGGCAATAGTGCAAGATTCTGTCTCAAAAAAAAAAGAAAAAAAAAAGTTCACTTATCTTTGGAGTAAACAAAGCAAATGTAAGACTTCTGAAAGATGTGATCTTCAAATGTTCATGAGCTAGAAAAGGTCTGTTTATTGTTGAAGAGCTACTCATTTGCCTGACATTTTTTATTTTGTAATTTCTGGTTTTTTTTCCACCAGAGCCTACATTCATCAGTACACAAAATTTGGAATTGAAGAGGAGGACTTTTTAGACAGTTTCACGTCATTAGAGCAGGTTGTTGCCAGTTACTGTAACCTCTGATCTTGAACAATGGGAAAAGTACCTTAGGGCATTTTTGGACTAAAATATTTTCAATACTATTTTCTCTGTAAAGTTTTCAAAGTTCCATTCTGTTAAAGTAACCACGTAGAATGCTGAGTCTGTTCTGCATACTATGCCCACAGAAAAGGAAGACAACTTTTTAAATGGAGAATCGCATGTTTTTCAATGAAAACATCCACTTGGTATTTCATTTGTAAGAAAAAAATGGTGCTTTTCTAAAGAACTTTGGGGAAACAATTTGCTGAGATGTTGGGACTCTGGAACTAGCCAAGAAAAGAGAATATTCTCTACATGTTCCTAAATCTTCCTCCTTTACTCCAAAAACAACTCACAAAGCATGAACCAAACTTTCACAGCATAATTTCAAGCTAAGGAATTGTAATTCTGTACTTAATATATTCATGTTTGAAATGAATGCTTTGAACCACAGGAGGGAGATGTTGTCAAATGCTACAGTGTGAACATGTATTTTGAATATTCTGTAACAGGGTAAGAGTTTCCACTCAAAGCAGCTATTTAAAAATAAATATGAGGATTTTGGTAATAAATGCTTATGCCTAACTACAAAAGCAAATAGGTAAATGTGTACTTAGTGTGCTTTTCTTCAACTTTTTGGGCATGAGAAAATTGGGTCAGATTTTGTTTTTGGATCCTGGAATGCCAGAGCAGAAATTGATTTTATTCAATTATTGCTTTAAAATTACTTATAATGGGCTGGGCATGGTAGCTCACATCTGTAATCCCAACACTTTGGGAGGGCAAGGTGGGAGGATCACTTGAGGCCAAGAGTTTGAGACCAGCCTGAGCAATACAGTAAGACCCCCATCTCTACAAAACAAAATTTTTAATTAGCTGGGTGTAGTGGCAGACACTTGTGGTCCAAGCTACTCTGGAAGTTTGGGTGGGAGGATCAATTGAGCCCTGGGAGGTCGAGGCTGCAGTGAACTGATACTGTGCCTCTGCACTCCAGCCCGGGTGACAGAGTAAGGCTGTCTCAAAAAAAAAAAAAAAAGGGCCTGATGCAG